GGCCATTGGTCAGCCAGGCTCGCATGAGATCAAGCGTGAAACGCCGTGGGGTGTGGGCCGAATCCCACGAGGCCGTGAGCTGCATCCTAACAGGGGCACATCATGAGGCCTCGAGCTTCATGCCACCATGCGCGAGGAGGGGGGGAGAGGGGATACACCATGTCACGCACTGTTTAGTTCGCAGTCCTTGAGGCCACCGCTACTGGGGTGATGCCCGCGCACCTTCGTTCCGTTGCCGAGGAGGGTGGTGTGCGACTTGTCCTTGCTGATCGCTGCGGCAGACGACACCTTCGCGTCTGCCGTTCCCCCCAATTCCTTCGCCTGCTGCGCGGACGTCACACGAATCGTTGTCACAGTTGTGTGGTCGTTCGATGTTGCTTTTCGCATACACCGGACACATGCTTACGATGTACAACACAAAACACCAGATAGCGGACCGGGGTACATTGAACGGCCATCTCTCTCTGTTTCTAAGAGGTGCTCCGTGGGCAAGCCGTTGACTACCCCTTACGCTTGTGGTCCTCCATGCAGCATTCCAAAGAAATAAATGCAGTCTGTCCTCCGGTGGTGCTACAGTTGCTACCTCTGCTGAAGATGATGGTTGTTCTACTACCCTACAGGAATGAAACGCGCTCCTGAGTATGGGAGTCGTGTTGAGTCTCGAATGCTTTGTGTGAGCACTCTTGAGCGATGGACATGCAGGCGAGCACAAACCACTTGATCCTCCATTCGTGTTCTGAGCACCTTGGAGTTTGGTCCTCTCTCGGAGATCTCGGGTGACCTTGCTGACCAAGCGACAACGACGTATCCCCTCCGATTTGTTTTTACTAATTGTGTCTTCCCAGAGAGGAAAAAACGACAAACTATGCACCAAGAACAACAACACGCGCGCGCGTTTCCTCCATCGCTTCTTCTTAGAAGAAACACGATGCCAAGAGCACGAACGAGGACGGATAAAAAGCCGAATAGCGTACCTGGACGCTGGATTCCTTCTTGAAGGCCTTAATGCCTTTGCGGAACGTACGGTCTGCGGTGGCCACCAGCAACAGAACCATGCTCAGCGTCAGGACAACCTCTGGGAGTACCTAACATTTTCGGCGTCGGTGCACCCACAAGGGCAGTGGTGACATTCATTTGTTGCGTTAGATAGCCCGAAGTATGCAGGGAGCGGGGAGGTGCAAAGGTTCATTGGCCAAAGATTGAGCGCATCCCCGACATACGAAAAAAAAAAACTCTTGGCGTTGCTGCCGGGGTAGGTAGGTTCCTGACGCGCGGCACTCGCATGTATATATCATCATACCTTCTGGATGAAGGATCCCACTAGCGCACCCCCAACTGCCGTACGATAGCGTGAGTTCATCGAAGGACGGAAAAGGGAGGAGGCGAAGGGAAGGTTGAGGGTTTTTCAGGGATACATGTACATTGCATGTCAAAAGGGGGGGTTGAGGGGTTGTCAGGTACAAAGAGCATGTTGGGTGCGGGGGGGTATCTGAACAGGGGTCTGTAGGAAAGCAAGAACGCGAAGCAGTTTGAACGGTAGATAGACTAACTCCGATGTGGAGAGCCGCGTTACGGTTTCTCCCCCGTGGCTGATGGCATGTCGTACAACCAACTACATGAGAGCTCATTAACCATGAAAAGGAGAGGAACGGCTGCGAATCGGCTTGTGAGAAGGGGGATGCCGGGCGACACTTAACATCGAGACGTAAAATTACACTTCCTTTGATTTTTCCAAGGATGTAGGGGGGGGGGGGCAGCGTTTGGACGTGTGGCACCGCATGTGTGCATACAGCACGCCCTACAGAAAAGCAAAACCCGTATACAATTCATCACTGTTCCTACTACTTTCCACATGCGCAAGAGAGGGCACAAGGACTCGGACATCCCATCACCAGCCGGGATGGTACAGCCGTCGAGTACGTCGTCCGCAGCCACCCTGCTGACGTCTGCCTCTCATCACACTCAATCGGTCAAGAGGGACCCGTGAGTCAGTTAGCTTCCCAACGACGCTCGGTGAACCGTAAAGACAAACCCTCATACACACCCACACACACACATGCGGTAACAAACCAGCCCAACGTCGACACAACCAAAACACGGCATCACGGCATAACCCACTCGTGAGGGGCTCCATGACGAGGATCAGGTCCCAGTCCACCAAGGGCCGGTCCGCGAGGGGGTGCCTCTTCTTCATGTTGAGGAAGGTGTTGGTGATGGCGCCCCCGAATATGGTGATGTTGGACAGCGGGACCGCGTACTTGGGGCTGAAGCGCAGCACGAGGATGAAAATGGGGACGAGGATGCCCCCGCCGCCGATCCCGCCGGCCGCCGCAATCATGAGCCCGAAGGACGCCAGGATCACCGTCGCCACGTCCCATCTGGTTTCGATTCGGGCGTTTTGACGAGGGACAGTGGGGACGAGGTGAGTGACTACAAAGACGTGGGATGCTAGCGAGGGATGGGAGGATAGCATCAAAGGTGTGAGTCACCGCACCCCCCCTAGACCCAAGCTCGATTGCTTCAGGAACAAGACCGTGAGAAAAGCGAGTCCAGGAAAAGCTGTTCAGCGAGAGATCGCCCCTCGGTTCTAGTTGCGACGTTGGTAGTGGGGATGTGCGGCCACTCATACAATCTTGCGGTGTGTTTGCTCCATTCCGTCTTGTAGACTTTGTGTTTAGGTGACCCTCCTCTCTGGCAGACTAACGGGAGGGGGGGGGTGTACTCATAGTCGTGCATGCCGTAGTCGTCAGACCATTGACCTCGCATTCCTACAAAGCCGGGACGGAGCACGCCGGGTTCTCACCGGACCAGGCTCTCACATCACCAAGCGCGAAGCGCCGTGAGATATTCGGCGAGTCGCATGAAGGNGCCACGCGACGAAAACCCAATCCCGATGGCAAACACCGAGTGGGGGGCTTGTTTTACAACGTCGTTGCCAAGCGACGAAAACCCGATTAGGGGGGGGCGTCAATCATGAGGATTTTCCTTGCTCTGCGTCGATGTAAGCACGGCGTCACGGTTCACGTCCGTTCATCAAACGGGGCGGCAAGGGCCCGTCTAGGTTTCGTTGTTCGCTACAGCAGTAGGTGGCTTTCCTGAAGATCTAGAACCGCGGCGGGGGGGGGCGGGGGAGGGGCGGGGGGTGTACTCATAGTCGTGCATGCCGTGGTTCTTACACCATTGACCTCGCATCCCTACCGGGGGGGGGCGAGGATGTAATTTTCAGCAAGACCACAAGAACCGACAAAGTGGCTTGGGGATGACGACGCACAAAGCGACTCTCGGTTTGGTACACTTCTTCGGATCCCCCCCCCCCCTTGCGGGACCGAAACGTATTTTTTCGTGTTTTTAGCCTTACCCTTCCATCTGGATCTCGTATCCCCTAACCCGAACCCGAACCTAAATCTAACCTGCCTACACCAGTCACTCCATCTTCATCCTCTACAGTACCGGTTTCGATACCAGAAACCGCAATTTCGGGTCAAGAAATTTCTTCCTTTCTTTGTTCACTATTTACGTGTCGTCGAGTGCACGATAATAGAAAGATTTTAGTGCAGTTTCCTCGGCGGGGTGGGGTTGGCTGTGTTTCTTGTCCCCAATTTTCTTTGGTTCCGTTTGCATTGAATCTGTTTCTTACTGCTGCTGTAGCAGCATTTTTCTTAGCTCTGGGCCCGCACTCACTGTATTTTTCACGCCCGTTCTCTTCTTATGTGGCGCAAAAGCACCTTCACCCCAACTCGAGGCGAACGGCAGAGGAACAGCACCACTCTCCTACCTTGATACTACATAGTCTATGTATCATTAACGACGTAAGACATGACACCTCCTGGATCGATTCTCAAAGCTCGGCAACTCCACGACGTAGAGAACGCCAAAATCAGATGGCACGTTTGTTTCGGGAAAGCTCTCGACTAGTCTGTTCCAACGCCGCCATTTTCGTCACCACCCACAATTATTTTCTGCCATGGGTTACTCAGTTGGCAGTCGGTTCAGGGTGTGATATCTTGGGCTAATATCTACTGCTTCGCTATAGTAGTGCTGCTGTATCTTTGGCACGGTTGACCGTGGCTAGAGAATGCCTGTGTGGGGGGGCAGCAGAGATAACAACAAAGGAGGGAGCGATCACACACGTTGAGTAGGCTTTGTTGGGTGGCCGGTGCAGAGGTAGTCTGTTTTTTTTCCTGTTCGCACTACTATTTTGAAATGGCATATCTATAGATATGTGGAGCTTCAACCAAAGCATTGCGTTCTTCAGGTGCGAGTGCCGCTACTACTCCTGTACTGCTGCACGTGTTCCTTCCGGACTAAGCCTTGTACTTGTATTTTCGGGACCTTTTACCTACCTCGCGGGTCAAGAATATTTCAAGAGTGCCGTGAGCTCATGATGCGAATACAGACTGCTGTATAGTGTGCCCTCAACAACGACGGTATGTGCCCAGCGAATCGACCGGCGCTATCGGAGGGACCGGCGCTATTCAAAGTACAAAATGACTTGCTCGATGTTTTTGCCGGCGCTATGCAACGCTCAACCGGGGCGTTGTTAGGGTCCAATGATGCTGCTGTAGGGTCACACCCTCGGATCTGTTCCGTTGTTCGCGACATTTTCCGAGTACGCTCGGTGGTCTAGTGGTATCATCATCAACCGCCAGTCGCAAAAGGTCGTGAGTTCGAATCCCTATGGGGTGAAAATAAATAAGTTTGCGGGTGAAAGCGAAATATAGCTGAAGAGCGAAGTACAGTGCCGGCCCCCACTAAAGAACCTCCTATTTTGAGCGAGGCTCAGTTCTTACTGGCTGCCCCAACCCGAGCACCAGTTCTTATTTGCCAAGTTCATATTTCGTTGTCCCATTTTTCTCCAGAAATGGGGGTTCTTGTTCTTGATTCAACCCGATTGCTCTATTGGCGTACGTATGACGTAATCTGGCGGCTGCCAACCATGAGCAACACTGCTGTCGTTGTTTGGTACGACAAAACACCAAGTCATGGAGCAGCAACTACTGTCAACCTTCTTGGTGCACAATTCGGAAGCTGGTCCTGCGTACCCTTCCCGATCTACTAACACTCTCAAGCAAAACCCAGGAGCCTACAGCCGCATCCGGATCTCCGCTGTACTTGTCTAAGGGCAACTTCATCTTGCGCGTACTCTCGTCTAGCTCCAGCTGAACACAGTAGTCGTACAGGTGGCGAGTGTCCTTCTGAGATTGTTAAATGATCAACCCTCCAAACCATCCCATCCCCAGCCTAACGAGTGCTCCACGTCGCAAAAGCAATCTATCAAGAGCAATGGGGCTAGCTTCTTGAATACGAAAGCCTGCCGAGATCTCCATTCCCTGTATCTCATCCTCCGGGTCTTGCGGGTACATGATGTCCTCGTCGTCCAGAAGAGCTAGCTCGTTGGTCTGGGGTTGAGACGTGTCTGCGAACGAGGCACCGGGAAACACGGTAAGAAGTTAGGGTGCCACGTCGCCATATCTCAACATGAACCCATCACCATTTATTCGTAGTCGTGCGCGAAAACAGCACATCAGCAACAACACAAGCAAACATCAACATGAAGGACATTGCCATCAACAAAGGGCATGATGAAGAGTGGGTCAACAATGGGTCTAGTGCAAAACAAACTTACGTCGTCTTCATCGCTGGAGTCAGCGCCCTCCACGACCTTCTCACGTCCTCCATCGCCCTCCTTCCCCCGCTCCTCAGGTTCATCGCTGCCGTTCTCCGAACCTTGTTCGTCCTCGCTGCTGTCTATATCGTTTGCGAAGGTGTACGACTTGTCCAGACCCTCCAAGGTGATTCGATCATCGCCTGAGCCATCCACGGTGATGGTCTTCCCGCACTTTTCGAAAAGGCGGTATCGGAACGCCTGTTGGCTGTTGAGTCTTGCCATGGCCGCTCCAATCCACCGAGTAATCAGTACCCGCCGATCAGAAGCTGTCAGCGACGCGATTTCCCACCTCTCGAGGTTGTCCGACTGCTCGAGCCATGTGTCCATCTTCCTCCCAACTTCCACCTTGAGAAATCGCCCGGCTCCTGCATCAACTGACTGCACCTCGTCCGCGCACTCCGAAGGGCCATACCAGGCGAGAGTGTTGAATTGCGTCGCAAGATACTCCATGATCTCGTCCGTCGTCTGAGCGTGCAAGTTGTCCATGATGAGAATGGACCTCGCCTTGGGGAGCTTACCCCGCCCGCGCATCAGGCCTTCGCGGTAGGACCTCTTCGCCCACTCCATCCAGAACTTTTGGTCGGTCCACGCATTCTCCTGGAAAAACACGTCCACGTCCTCGTGGTACGAGGCTCTCCACCGGCGAGATCCGCTTTCCCGTACCTCGGAAAATCACCAAATTCGCATGGCCTTCTCACCCGGACCAAAGATGACTTGCATGTTGCACTGCCTTTTCTCTAGGCCAGGAAAGGGCTGCGAGATTACTACCCGCAACGCACCTCTCTTGTCCCACGTGTCGATCAGCCCGTTCACGAATGCCAAAGCCGCTTGATCCACATTCCAACGCTCTCAGAGCTGGAATTGACCGTACATAGGAACTCTAGACTCTCTCTCCGTGACCGTCGTAATTGCCGACACGTCCGATTCATCGGGCGCCCTGTACCGCACCGACTCTTGCGGGAGCTTGCGAAACAGTCGGTGGAAGCGCTCTATCTTTGTCAGGCGCTCTTCAACAGACTTGTTCTTGATGTTGGTCCGACGTCTTTTGGACAGGTTATGCCTCTTGGCCCATTTTCATGCCCACCTGAAGGATGCGCGGAACGCCGCCGCCCGTTGATCCCCGGGGTACATTTCTCGCACGAGCTTCCGGAACGTGATCGTCAGCCACAGGGTCGACACCCTCAGCTTTCTCTTCTACCGCTCCACGAACCCCTTGTACAGTCACTTTTCTGCCTCAGAAACCACCGCTTAGGCTGCTGCTTGGCGAGGAGGCTCTTCACGTCATCGGCTGCCGCCGCGATCAGATCCTTCTCGTTCTGGGCCCACTGCACGATAGTGCTGTAGGGAATCTTGAGACGAGCCTCCGAGTACCGAAGAGGCGTGCGCTACTCCTCCTTCCAGAGGTCTTCGGCATTATCCTGGAGGATGCGCAGGTGGTTGACAGCATGGGCTTTGAACGTGAAGTCGTATCGCCTGCGCTTGGGAGCTCCACGAGTTTCCTTGGGTTTGTGGTCCATGAAGCCGTCGCTATCCAAGTCGAGATCGAGAAAGCGCTTCCGCTGGAGGACAAGCGAAGCCGCCCCCGTCGCATCATTGACCTTCACGTGCCAACAACGCCTAGGCCCGGATGCTTCCCACGGCAGGACACTCCCTTCGGAATCCCTCCGTAGCATGCGCCGCAGCTGCGCGCCGTTGGACATGTTTGCACTGCAGTGCTGCGTTCTCACGTGGATCCCAAGGCCTTGCTCGTTCACGAAGGTCATGGGACAGTGCGGGCAAGGTCGGCGGGACTCGGGGCCGGAGGTGGGAAGCTGATACCGGATATGAGCTCTTTCACTCCACCGCGAGTCCGCCCCATCTGCACGGCACGGTGGAAGAAGGGCAGAATTGCCGTGCAGGTGATTCAACGAGCCATGTGATGTGTCATTCGCTATTGAGTGTGGCGCTGCCGACCTCGAACTTCCGTGGATGTCGCTGGCAAAAGATATCTATGTACTCCGTACAACATACTCCGTGGATATATTATCGTGATCCACAAGCTAGAGTGGTGAGATTTCTGTATTGTTTGTGTCACAATAAAACTAAATCATTAAGCAGAGAACGTGCACTGTATGTGGATACTCAAAATTAGGTCGCCGACGTCCAACCTAGAATATCTACACTGTCTACTTTCTTCTATTTGTGCACACGTTATGTTAAAGAGGGATAGACTGAGCCCAAGATCCACAACGCACGACATGTACTCTAGATGACAGTAGGCGGCCCGATATAGCGGCATGTGGGGGCAAGCCAAAAACATGCCGCTATTCAGGGCAGTGCAGCGATATCGGGCCACCTACTGTACACACGAACGAAGTTTTTCTCGTTTTCATCGTTGTCATGGGAGTTTTTTCAAAAATCTACCAACATTTTGTAGCGAACAAAGTAACTGCGTGCGTCAGACAAACGAACTCACCGGTTGTCCGCTGCCAATCGCGAACGCGTTACAGATGTTGCCGCCTGAATTGCCTTTGGCAGCACTCTCCCTGGCTTGCTTCCCTCGATCCACGACCTTTCTCTTCGCGGTAGCCGCTGTTGCGGCAGGTGGGTGCTGAGAAGATGCTGCACCGCGTGCGCTGCCGGCATCTTGTTGGGATGAAGAGGACAGGCGGGTGCTGCTGGTAATACCCTGGGTTTCGCCATCAATCTGCGTGGCCCACTCTTTTTCGACGAAGACACCGTTCTGCTTCAGCCCCCACGCGCTCTCTCGATGGCGACCTACGTTCCTCCGCAACGGAGTTGCCCGCCTTCACGTGTGCTTTTATCGTCTCGAAGTGACGGTCAAGAATTAGACCCCGTTCTTTGAACTCTGCAAGTTTGCCAAGCTCTTCCAATAATCCATGGGGTAAGGGATTACACAAGGACATGATCCCCCTGAACGGCAGGCAGCTCGTGACACGCTGCACGTTGCGTGGCACGCCGCACGTTTCGGGGGCACCCAGCAGGGGCACGACGTGTACAGTGCCCGCCCTCCCCCCCTCTGACAAAAAAAAATATATTAGGTATGTAGGTGCCACCACTACATACCCGCCTCCGACCAGTACTACTGGGATCACTCCCCCGCTTCCCCTCCATAATAAATAGGACGAAAACAAACACACTCTCACAGCATTGCAAAAATCATCTTTGTAGTCAATAAAAACGACGTTTATATAAAATTGGAAGTTGCCTGTTGTGCATGGCACGGCATCTTGTTAAGAAAAATTAATACACACACAGAAGTACAGCCTTGAGACGCGCAATTCCGTTGTTGAGAAACTTGTTTTTTCTTCAGTCGCCACGGCCGTTAGAGCAAGCAAGGCTACTGCTCCATGTTGCATTCAAGAGGATGTGTCGTCCACGTCAGATCAAACAAGGAGCTTTGGTTGTAACTGCAGTCCAACGCAATCAAGGTATTTCCGACTCAGAGCAGTCTGGATCTACAGTACACGTACAGTCCGGGCCCGGAGATAAGAAATGTCAACATCGGGTCGAGGCTCAATCCCTTATTTTGCGTCGAAAGATCAGCCGAAGGCGTCAATTTTTTTGAAGGCATTTCTAGTTTCTTTTGACTGTCGTTTCCTCCTGATTTTGTTATTTCTCGTTTTCTTTGATTTCTGGCGAGAATATGCATACAACAACACCAAACATTCATGCAGCAGTGGGTAAAGCAGCCCGCGGAGGCGCCGAGTAGCTAAATAGCGCGGAGGCGGGGGGGGGCAGCACCAACAATCGCTCTCCCCCCCTACGAAAGAAAACGTTGTCCCGCTAGGTACCGGGGGGGTGGGAGCACGGAGAGACAGCAGTGGAACGTTTCTTATTGGAAACGCTCCCAGCAACCCTTGTTTCTTATGAAATGGGGGTATCGCACGATCATGTTCCAATTGGGACGTTTCGTATGTTGTGGCCGAGATTGAGCTGTGTTTCTTAGTCCTTTTTTCTTATATTTCGTAAAAAGTGAGCCTTCTTTTCTTAACGGAATTTTTCTTGATTGCGCGCCCGTACTGTACGTGATCATATGGATCATCGGCAGAGAGAGAGGGCAGAAAGAGAGAGCCCCTTCGTGACTGTCACGGTTTAGAACGGCGGGTTTAGAAGAAGAGTTCATCAATTGCTACTTACCTGTCGGCACGTACGCGATGTCTTGCCGTCGACGAACGTTATAGATGCAGCGATTGTAGCACTTTTCGTCGCCATGCGAGGCTCTTATAATTTACTTGGTTGGTCGGTTGTTATTTTCCCGACAGGCATCACCACCTCTGGGTTCGTCCTCAGTACAATGGCTTGGTAGACAGGCGCGACTACCTACCGTGGTTACAGACAACCAATGTTGTTGTGTGTGCCCCTTCCCACACTAGTTAGCGGCAGTCCAGGAACAATCATAAGAACAGCGCAGAGGAATATTTTCTCACATGCCCTACGGGGGGCAGATGGCTTGTGACCACGGAAGGCGTCCGCATCAGTTGGACCAGTACGTACAGTAGAAGGTACCGAGTGGAGATCGGAACGGGTTTTTAATGAGAAGACAACAACAACAACAACAACAACAACAACAACAAAACATACGCGTTGATTTTCCCTGTCTTGCGGGCAAGACTTTTCTCGCATGCGCTTTGATTTTCCCCTGGCGTGCGGGCAAGACCAGTCTCTGTAGGTGACACTTGGTGAAATATGAATGATATGCATGTTTGTACATACCCAGTATCACTTGCGGTGTTGGTCGTGGTACCATTATCAAGGGATCAGTGGAACGTTCGATGACGTATGGATCCACTGATCCACTCATCATACAGATGGCGCCCGCACTTAAGAACCTCTAGTTTCGGCCGAGGCTGGGGTTCTTTTTTTGCTGATCATCCTCTTGTGGGCTACAAATGGCCGCTATATAGGTTTTAGTGAGGGGTTCTTAACCGAGCTCACAAATGGTGCTCAAGTTCTTAACAGCTTCTGATTTTTTATGGGTCTCAATTTCTTAAGTGCTAAGTTCTTAAGTGCGGGCGCTTTCTGTACTTGTACGCCGTGAAGAGGCGCACAACGTACGCCGTATAGAGGCGTTCAACGTAGGTGAATCTCTATGTACTAACTGTGTAGGCCAGCGGTGGTGTCTTCAGATCGAAAACAGTTGCTTCGTTGTTGTTTGTCGGAGGGGGGGGAGATGATGTGTATCTCTCCAATACACAGATTAGCGGATGCTCTCTGCTTCCAGCTTCCAGCCGCCCCGTTCATGTCGTCATGCAAGTACATCCAGGAGATAGCTCAGTTGTTAACAGTCTGTGCAGAATCTGTGTCAGATATGGGTCGGTCCGTGAGAGTCCGTTACAACGGTGAATTCGTAATCATGGACGTGCACGCCGACCGTTTTCGAGAAGAACATCGATTTTGTTGCGGCTCCCAAACCTGGGATGGGTGCGGAAAAGAAAAGCCAGCATGATCGCCGACTTGGTGTGGGAAGCACAGATGGCACCCGCACTTAAAACCTCTCGTTTCGGCCGAGGCTGGGGTTCTTATTTTGCTGATCATCCTCTTGTGGGCTACAAATGGCCGCAATATAGGTTTACATACATGCAGGTGTCCAATTCCCTCAGCCAGTACACGATGGCTACATTTTTTACTGAATTCCTAGAGTGTCTTCAGAGCAACGATCTCTTCCGCGGGGAGATGGACACTTGAGTGAGGCCAAACTTCACCAACCCAATCACCGCTGCACACCCCAGCTGCTGCTGTTACTTCCTGTCCGTCTCTCTCACTTGTTCGGGGGAAGTAGTTTCTTGTGCCACCCACGTTCCTCGGGCGGGGGGAATTCGATGCCCTCGTCGCCGAACTCATCGATGGCGTCCGCGTCGCTGTTGGCCACAACCAGGAGAAGCCCTTCTCCGGGGACTCCACCGGTCACGAGAGAACGCCGCTGGCCTTCGCCCTCGGGCCGTAGCCCCTGCTGATGACCCCGATCCTCGGCGGGAGGGTTGAACGATGTTCCGGAAGAAGTTGCTGTTGTGGAATTTTGCCGCCCAACCACAGAGACGGCCACGCAACAGGCCAGCACGATCGCGGCAAGAAGAAGCGCTTTGTGTAGCAGCAGCAGCGTCCGGGACGACGCCATGGTGGGATTCGAAGAAGAGAGGAAGTGCATGCGTTTGTCGCTGGCTCCGCTACAGAGTCTCGCCCGGGGGGAGTTTCGCCTTGTCAATATTGAAATCGAACCCAAACAATGGTTGACGAACGCGCATCAAAATGACGATCTCCGAACGGACCGCAAAAATATTTTTTCCGAAGCGTTCCCTCTCTCCTGCTGAGTGGTTGCGTGTACGCGCACCTTGGTGTAATGGTATTGTTCTGGAAAATATGCCCGCGATTGTAGATGTCTTGAAAAGAGTTCTTGCAGTTGAGAAACGCGCGGCACCAGCCCAGGCTCTCAGGATATCGCTGGGTCACCGATCACTGATTGATCACCGGCCTTCTTCGCCAGCTTTTTTTTGGTTATCGGAATTCAAGGTAGGTTTGGTTCTACAAAATAGTTCATGCCGCAACAGAACTTCCATGCAATTCATTCAGAACAGTTTTCCGAGTAGCAGCAGCAATGCTCATGGCAGGGTGCGGCCAGAAGCGGCCGCACAACCATGGTCTTACCTGGCGCCCATAAGGCTAAACCAATCAGAGGCCTGTATTTCGCATCCATCGAGAACCAAAAAAGTACGGCCTCCATGTGGGTGTTCCCATAAGGCTGCCATAAGGCTAAGCCAATGAGCAGCGGAGTTGGGGCAGAACCGAACCTCATGGGTGAGCACGTGGGTGAGCACGTGGGGCGACGTCATGCTGTATGCCGGGACCTCGCGCCAGCGTGCCCCTATTATTACCTTGTAAAAACGTAAAAACAAAACTCCGCACTGCTGTATAACGAACAGCGCCAAACTGCTCCGAGCAACCAAAGACCAGAGCGCACACAGAGAGGGGCCCAGAACGAACACAGCAGAGACACGATGCCTGTGGTGTGATTCACAGAGACAGGAGATGCGAGATGTCTGGGCGTGGGAAGGGGAGACCGAAAGGAAGCAAGAGTAGAGCTGGGTCGCAACCAACCGGGCCTGAGAGCGCGGCCAACAAGCGACGGCGAGTAGCCAGCCAAGCGGCCAACAGACAGGCGTGGTCAGGGTTTGGGTTCACATCTGGTGGTGGTGGTGATGGTGGAGCGTCGTCGCAACAACCTGGTTCGTCTAGTGGAAGCGGCAACAATGTAGTAGAGGATGAGGATGGTGGCGATGCGGCCGGCCACCAGCAGGGCCCTGCAGCAGCAGCAGCAGCAGCAGCAGCAGCAGCAGCAGCGGCGATCCCCGACGTGGGATACATCACATGAGTTGCTGCGTTGAGTTGTTTGTGCTTGTTCTGGTTCGGTTGTTAAAGTTGACTGCTGTGACCGGTTGTTCCTGGTACTGCCTTGATGTGCGCGTGTTTCCTGTAGAGCACAGCAGTGCATAGCCTACTGCTACAAATAATGATCAAATATTTTTGCCTTTTTTTGTACACGACCGAGTATGTTATCTCTTTCAAACCGCGTACTTCAATAAAGAAGTCAACGCCCTCCCCTTTACCGCCTTGATGCTGTCCTTGGCTGCCTCAATACTGCCCTCGCTCTCTATGGTGTGTCCTACAATTTGCTGTACATGCAAGCGGTGCTGTGTTTTGCAGCGGGCATGCGGTCTTTTGTCTTTTCCTAGTCATGCTCAGTACATGACGCCAAATATCACCCCCCCTTAGACAACGTGAATCTCATCTGCGTGACGGGGTTGGTGTTTAGAAACGAAGTGTTTTACTTTTGTTTGCATTCTTCGGCAGTCCTCAGAAGTCATTTTCCAACTCTACGAAGAGGAATATCAAAACACCATTTTTGTGAAGGGATCGAGCGTAAAAAAATACCGTGTCACACACAACCACCGGCGTCCACAGCCTACATAGCCGCGTAAGCCTTATCGAGATTTCTCCATTATGGCACCAACTGCTGCAGGTGCTCCCGAGATTGGGACAGGCCGCGTTTGTGCAGCAGATTAAGGAGAAGATTACCGAGGCGGCACCACGGCACAAGCTTCAAAAGCCGTACCCGTACGACAGCATGTGGGTTCATCCCCCCGACCCTACGATGCGCAAGTCGTTCAACGTCGCCCATTTTCATCTCCGGCCCGTTTTTGTTTGGCTACCTGAGCTCACTCAACCTCGCGGCGTAACTGATGGACGGCTCCCTTGCCCTCGTTGCAAGAGTGCGAAAGACGTGATCGTCAAGGGGTGGACGCAGAAAGGCTCACGCAGAGCCATCCTACCGGATTCTTGCTGCGACCTCCTGGGCAAGTACTATATGTGCCACAGGTGCATGGAGAACAACAAATCCAAGCCGAAGGCAAGCGGTTTGCATGCCGTACTGTGTGAATTCGGGTCCGTTTTTTTTATGCGAATGCACCTTTCCCTCGCCTGTGCCCGAAGCGTTTTTCCCACAACGAACTGCTGACACATTGCACGTTTTCTCGCTCATGTCTGCGTTTATGAATCGAACAGAGTAGCAAGGAGCGAGTCCCCGTGACTTTCCAGGGATGGGATGCAGACGTGCTGGCACTGCTTCCGTTGTACGTGCAAGAGAGCTTCCCGTTCTTCCTGACACGGAAGTCCGCTATTCACCGTGACGTGGTCGCCGAGGTGGCAGACAACCTGATGCACGCGAAGGGGTTCTCAGCATCGAGCGAGGCCTTGCAACAGGCACACCTGTACAGGTTCCATTCCATGGAGCTCAAGTACTACAGCATGCTTCTATGGCGCAGAGAAGAGCAGCTGGATGCAGGAGTGGAGGACGAGTTTGGATCCTTTGAGGATGCGGACGGCTACAACGGCTTTTCCCCTTCAGAACACTACTTGTCTACCGTATGGTGCGAGCGGATGCAGCAATCAAGGGCCGCAAGGCTAGACAAGCACGTGAACGGAGTGCAGGGCGAGGTGTGTTGCAACAGGCGGAGGATAGTGCAGACAGTTCCGATGTAGATGGTAATGAATCCAGGGTAACAACGAGCTTTAACGATGACTTCGAAATGCACAATACGTTTTGATTTATTCGATTTCCATTGCGTGGTGACGTTGTTCAACGAGTTTGAACAGGCAAGTAAATTTGCAGAGTATTGGATTGATGAGGCGCTGTGTGTAGTGAAGCTTTGTGCGTTTCCATTCCAACTCTCGTTCAATTTTGAGAGCTCCGATAGCGGTACACGATGACCGTTGGTGTTGATTTCTTGTGTGTTCTTGGATTTTACGGTCTCGCGTGCACAGGTGGTGCTTCAGAAGGCCTTGCAGTCCGCGTCCCTGCGGGAACTGAAGCAAGACTTGAAGGCGCTCTTCATCACGCGGTACACAGGCGGTGGCTTCAAGCTGCCTCGACTCGTTAGCACAGACGAATGCTGCAACGACAAGGCTCTGCTGAACGAGATCTTCGAAGAGTTGGCTTCCGAGGGGCACCAGTTTTCTGTCACCAATTCCGTGCCTATCGCTTCCGAGTGTCCTGTTCTCCACCTGCCGCCGGACGTTGTTCTTGGAGAGCCTGTGAAGGCCAACCAGGATTCTCCGTGCCTTAAAGCGGCAGTGGACGCGATCCGAATGCAGGCAGAGGCCAACAACGGCCTCCTTGCGCTAGATATAGAGTGGGAGATATCGGCTGCTGGCGCACCGGCCAATCCACCCGCCACCATTCAGCTAGCAGCCGGGAAGAGAGTAGTGATATTCCACGTCTTGCACGGTCAGCGTTCGGTGCCAGCAGAACTGCCCGATCCGCTTGTTGACTTGTTGGAGGATACCAAGCTGACGAAGACGGGTGTGGGGATAAAGGGAGACTGCACGAGGCTCACTAGCTTCTACGGTGTTGAAGTCGCTCATGCCGTCGACCTGCGCTCTCTGGCGGTGGAGCGGAAGGTGGAGCTGGGGTTGAGGAGGGGCCTTGCGGACTTGTGTGTCCACCTACTTGGACAGCAGTTGCCGAAAGACCCTACCGTGCGGTTGTCCAAGTGGAACAAGCTCGACTTATCCGACGACCAGAAAAGGTGAGCAAAATATGGTTCTGAACACGAACAGCGGTGTGAAGACTTCGCCGCAGATGCCGTCTACTATTGTTATCATATACGTTTCATTTTCAATTTTTTTGTGCTGACACGCGCAAACTTGGATATTTTACATTCTAGCAATTGACGGTGTTGAACGCCGATTTCGCAGTTTCCAGTACGATATCCGTAGGGGTGGTGTGCTGTACGTCGTTCTCGTCCTTTGTTTTCTCCAGCACGCCGGAGTCTCCTACCCCCAATATTTTTTCGCTGCGATTCCCCCTTGATATCCATTCAGAACGCCGATTTCGCAGTTTCCAGTACGATATCCGTAGGGGTGGTGTGCTGTACGTCGTTCTCGTCCTTTGTTTTCTCCAGCACGCCGGAGTCTCCTACCCCCAATATTTTTTCGCTGCGATTCCCCCTTGATATCCATTCATTTTTTCCATCCTCATCATTGATATTTTTGGTACATCGGTGTAAGACTGCAAAAAGTCACGTTCAGAAACGCCTGCGCTATTTTACCCGGTCGGCCGGTCACCAAAACGTTGGCTGTTGTACCCACACCCCTGTTTTTCCCCATCCGAAGGTACGCAGCACTTGATGCGTACGCCTGTCTTCTGCTTCATGGACGCATCGGCGAGCTGTCTGACTCGATTTTCAGAGATGCCGAGGAGCTGCATGTCGGAGATAGAGTACGGTTGTATACTCGAGCAGGGAATGACTGCGTTGGCGAGGGGTGTATCGTCGAGCACACCGACGAGACCTGGGGGACAACGGGGTTCTACCTGGTGCCTCGTCGTGCTACACGACGTTTCGCCCGGCGCTGGGCTGTACGCCTGGATAGGGTGCACGTGCCCCGCGCCAAGACCTTGTACCCAGACGCCACCGATCCCCGTGGTACTCCCGCTACTGCGCAGCTTGCAAGCCGGGTGGACAGCGTCATCCTGTGGGATGCAAGCCGCTTGCGGAAGACGACTGCTATCCTCACGGTAGGAGCAGCAGGAGAGCCAGCAGGAGCGCCAGCAGAAGCGCCAGCAGGAGTGCTAGCAGGAGTGCCAGCAGGAGCACTAGCGGGCGCGCCAGCAGCAGAGGCAGTGGGAGCGGCAGCAGGAGAGGAAGCACGGACGGCAGCAGAAGAGGCAGCCACTAGCAGTGTACACGTAGAGACGAGCACAGTGTCTTGCGAAAGGGGATCACAAGTCTACCTCCAATTTATGCTGAAATTAGAAGAAGGAGAATCTCAGTTACCGTCCAACCCTTTTTTTTTAAGGTCATGACCATAGATTCTTAGCTATTGTCGATATTTTCACTGCGTGCCTAACACAGACGATCGGGAGAGGATCGGGTGATTGTCCATTGCAATCATGGCTTCGGTTGGTTGTTCTTTTTCACTGTACGTCCGCAGACACATTCTGACAGCACTTCAGACAGCAGCTTTGTGCCCCGCCAGCTTCTTGTTCCATGCCTACCATGGTGTTTTTGTACAGACAGCACTTCAGACAGCAAGTATGCTGTAGTCGGCAATCATTCGTTTTGGTACAGAGTGGGACAAGTAGGGGGTGATGTTGCTGTAGTCGAACGGTGAGACGGACGTGTAGTTCAGTTTTGGGCACGCGTACGGTGCTGCAGGGATTATATATAGGTGTAGTAGTACCTCTTCGGGCTCTTGTACACCTTTTTCTTGCTACGTACGTGTGCGTGTTCTTTAGATCCTCAGATGGCTCCAGCACTTTCGTGACCACGGGCCGAGAGTCTTTGCTAGATTTTGGCATTTAGCAACTGGCATACGGTTTAATGTGAAGTCAACAACAACAACAACAACATGTACAGATCCGTTCCCGGCCCACAAAGTGTTTACCGCCTACATTGTAATTTACATTACGCGGGATTTCCTTCGCTCGCTCGCTGTATACTGTAGATAATTTACGGTGCTTCGAAGGTCATCATCCGACCATCGGGGCGTTGGTTGATGGTGCAACACGTTCTTCGCGTCTGGGGCTGGAGTCTCGCGCTTTGAGGAAGGGCAGAAATGATTTTCACGACATGATCCGACTGTTGTGCACATTCTAAATACATATTTATTGATGGGGTACTCCGAAAATATATCTAAAAACACTCGGAATGAACCCAAGGACAGCTTCACAGAAAAGCTTCGCAAACTGTGGCAGTCAAATCGTCAAAGTGCCCCCCAAATCGTCGAAAACAAGGCGAGAACATGAAAGAAATATTGCGCGCTTCGCGCGCCAAAACGCCTCTTTCATGTTTTGGCGCTTCGCGCCAAAAATTATTTTAATTGCCGGGCCAGGTAAGACCATGGTTGTGCGGCCGCAACAGACCGCACCCCCATGGTCTTACCTGGCGCCCATAAGGCTAAACCAATCAGAGGCCTGTATTTCGCATCGCATTGCAGCAGAGGCAGTGGGAGCGGCAGCAGGAGAGGAAGCACGGACGGCAGCAGAAGAGGCAGCCACTAGCAGTGTACACGTAGAGACGAGCACAGTGTCTTGCGAAAGGGGTGGGCCCGGGGGTGGTGGCGGCAAGGAAGGTCCAAGGTTGCCAGATTCTGTTGGCGAGGCGGACGCAAGACGTGGAGCGGGTCAAGGGGGGACGGAGTTCGTGACTCCTTCCGAGCCGTTTTTTTGTGGGGAGCTAGACGGCATCGAAGCGCTCAGTTCCGAGTCCGTAGCATGCTCGGCGGGTTCGGGTGGTTTGGCCGACGAGGGACAAGCAGCAACAGCCGGTGGAGATGATGAGGAGGAGGACGAGGTGCCTCTCGATGTCACCGCAGACACGTCTAGCGCAGAGGTTGAAGAGCTACTATTTCTCAAGGTGAGTATTGAGAGCTTTAACGAGGACAGCCTGCTAGTAGTTATGGGTTGGGTGGTAGTCGAAAAGCGCTTGACCAACGCAATTACGCGTTGGTACGCCTTGCACGTACTCTCACTGCGCTCTCGGCTGTGGTCGACATCATTATTTAGCATATCCTTCGCGACTGACACTGCCCTTTTGGTTTCTTCTTGAAACTTCCCCAAGCACAAAATTGCACCGCTCGTAGCACCTAATGCTGTGTCTAATATCTGTCAGGTGCGACACTAACGTTGTTTATTGGTTTCCACTGCAAATGGCGTTCAGGTTGCTGGGCTAGTTGTCAAGCTCGACACTTTCCACGCGATGCAGCGGGTGAGTAAGCTCATCCTCAAGAGCCACGGCGCGTGTCGTGCGTACTTGGCGCGGTTGAGAGACGCTTTTTTCAAGGTGAACGCGGAAGATCTCGCGGCGGTGGAAGCAGCCCTCCGCCAAGCGGGCATGAGCAAGGAAGAGGTGGAAGCTAAAAAGGCCAAGGATTGGGTTTACTTCCTCAAGCGATGCCGAAGGTGAGGAACATCGGCGCCCGCAGTATTTCTGCCGCCAACTGTCATCGTGCGGGGTGCAGTGCGTTGTTGATTTTCGTAAATTAAGAGGGCGTAAATGTTGCGTTTGAACACCTAGGCATCGGTGTTGACCTATCGGTTCGTTGACCTCGCTGTACTTGCTGCCGGCAGGTTGATCCCACGGCCAGCAGAGCTGCTCGAGCGTTTTGACTTGGTCAACAACCTGTATGGCGGGCTTATTGACAAGAAAACGAAGCAGCCACTGTTTCGAGCGGAAGCACTGGAGGCTATCAAGCGTCTTCGAGTACACATCATGAACGATTGCTGTAGTGACTCCCCGAACGAGGCGCTGTACTTCGAGGCGGGGAAGGATGCTGAGACTCTCTGTCCGTTGTTTCGCTGCATTAGAGGTACCAACGACCTAGAGGGGTACCACCTGCACATGCGCTTGCTGGTCGCGTGGTGTATTTCTCCCAGGCTTGCCCATCTTCTTCTCCTCGAGTACAACTACAGGTGGAACTTACGCCAGAGTATGAAGAACCGTGGTCTCGACGAGGCTGTGGGGGGGTTCTACGACCAACCAATGCTTGAGGCCATCCAGGTACACTTACCACGAGCTGGTTCCACAACTCTGCGAAGTAGTGACCGTAGCCGATCATCGTTACCTTAGGTTTTGATAGAATGGTCAGTGAATCGTGGCTTGATCATTTTGCATCACCATTAACACAATGCGTATACCGCAACGTTATTTTTCAACCAGAGGATGACTTCCAAGCTGTACGGCAAGGCGAAGTACTCCCAATGGCTGCCGACGAGCGCATACGGCGACACAGGGGAGCGCAGTGGGTTCGTGCGGAGCATTTTCCCATCAAACGTGGTCGGAGGAGGGACGGACTCGGTGTTGGAGATACTGGGTGGGGCGGAGAACAGCGGCATTGACCCCGCCTTTGCGGACGAGGCGGTTCCGCTCCCAGAGCTTACGGGATCGGCAGCCAGGCTAGCAAAAATGCAAGGAGTGCAGGTACCGCATATGCCGGTAACCAGTGCCGCTGAAAAAGCAAAGTTCGGCGACATGTGGTTGGAGTTTGTCGATCCGGCTGGGAGGCAGACTTTGCTCGACTTCGACAGCTTTGCATTGGAATGGAACAAGGCCGTGTCGCTCATGGAGGAGGGCAAGAGCGCAGTGATTCCCATATTCCGCAAGACGGCCGGACACCTCAAGGCGTACTGGAAAGCGTGAGTCCCAACCGCGTTTTTTGGCAGAAAGGAGAAAGTTCTCAAGTGTTATATTCCTAGTCCAGTTGAGTGATAAACTTTCAACCTTGTCCCGTGGTTGCTCCTCTCGCAGTTTTTTTTTTTTTTATGGTGACAACTTCCTTCCATAAAATGAACGGGTGACGTTGGCAGGCACCACGAGCAGGTGAACATGAGGGACACTTTACGACCTGCCCGGGGTCGAGATGCTCCCATCAGAGAACATCTCCGTGCCCCAGGTGATGTCGGAGGCCCGGCTGGTGGTCTTGCGCAGCCTTGGATTCTGGAGGCGCCTGAGGGATTTCAGATGCCGGAGCAGCTGCCCTCCATTCCGCCATCCGTTCCAGTTGCCGCGGCTCAGGGGGCGTTGGCGGGTGGTGGTGCTGGCGCCCCCGCGAAACCTCGCCGTAAACCGCAGCACTGCGTGGAGTGTGGGCACAAGATGCGGATTGGGGTGTTCAAGAAATACCACCCGCAGTTTTTGTCGGCAGCCCAGCCCAAAAAATGCACTGTGCCAGAGGGATTGCGCCGGTTGGCTGTGAGACCAACACAGCAGAACGCCCTAAGGAAATTTGGTGGGGAGTGCGAGTGTACTGGGGACGCCGCCCATCTGGGAGGCTGCAAAGGGGTTAGATAGTCTACTGTATACTGTAGATAATTTACGGTGCTTCGAAGGTCATCATCCGACCATCGGGGCGTTGGTTGATGGTGCAACACGTTCTTCGCGTCTGGGGCTGGAGTCTCGCGCTTTGAGGAAGGGCAGAAATGATTTTCACGACATGATCCGACTGTTGTGCACATTCTAAATACATATTTATTGATGGGGTACTCCGAAAATGTATCTAAAAACACTCGGAATGAACCCAAGGACAGCTTCACAGAAAAGCTTCGCAAACTGTGGCAGTCAAATCGTCAAAGTGCCCCCCAAATCGTCGAAAACAAGGCGAGAACATGAAAGAAATATTGCGCGCTTCGCGCGCCAAAACGCCTCTTTCATGTTTTGGCGCTTCGCGCCAAAATTTATTTTAATTGCCGGGCCAGGTAAGACCATGGTTGTGCGGCCAGGGTGCATGGTGCATCATGGAGACGTGCGTTCGCAAAGCTCTTGCGTACGTTGTCGGAGATGCTGTTCATTCTCGCTGTCTGTCTTCAGGCCAAAAGCCATTATCGCGCATTGTTATTAGTCTATGCAGCGGCATCGCGACCAATCACAACCAGTGGGATCCATCAACTGCTGTGTTCCACGTGATCTGCTTGTTGTTCTCTCCTACGGACAGACAGGCCACAGGCGACACCAGTTTAACTTCTCAGTCAGTCACATAAAGTCAAACCCGCTTTAAGGACGCACGCACATGGTTTTTAATGAAAAAATCCGTCAGGGGTTGCGTCCTTAAAATTCAGGGGACGATAGCTCACCATCCACGGGGCCAATGGAGGCATGCTACACCTCAAACAACGCGTCTTTTGCTAAGGAAGGGGGTGGTACGATAAGTCAGCATCGCCGAGCCGACTGGCAACCGTTTGTTGACGTCGAACATATTATCAATACTTGAAATGAGATGTACAGCAGTCGGGGACGTGTTGAAAACAACTACAGCAGTACACCAGTTTGTACTTGGCCAACCAATGTCTAGACTACTGCATAGCCGGCAGCGGAAGAAGGAGGAAAGTCCAGCCTGCTGTGTTTGCTGCTTGTTTTTTTGTTTTTGTTGTTGAGCTGAGACACAGGCGCGCCTTCGCCCCTTGTGCTCACTCTCATCTAGCACCCATCAAAGCCTGACCAGGGAGTCAGTTGATGACATCTATCTACATTTCTCTTTCCGAAGCTCGCTCGGGCCTACCGATCTCACAGCAGTGTAACCTCTGTGATAGACTACAAAGTCTACGAGCTACAGCAGCGCCGCGGTGACAGCAGTGTAACCTCTGTGGTAGACTACAAAGTCTACGAGCTACAGCAGCACCGCCACCTCCGCTGCTGTAGAACGCCACATATTGTGAGGTTATGAGCCTCGCTTTACGCGAACACTAGGAGCTGCGGACATCACGACGGAGGTCAAGACATCCTACTGTTGTGGACTACAACATCCATCTGTGGACTTCGAGCGGAAATCTGGATTCGGAGATTTGGGAGATCATCAATGGTCAGCGGAAACGAAAGTGAGCGCGCTACTTGGTCATCTACACCAAGGGGCTGAGAGTTCACTATACACACACGTTACCACTGCTGCAACAATAGTGGGTACCTCTGTGGTGAACAAACAGCAAAGTGTTGCGCGGGAAGCCTCGATTTAGACATCGAGCAAATACTTCTGCGTCAAAGACAGGAGGGAAGACTAGACTATATCAACAGCGAAAGTCGACCGGGAACCGTAGTCCTATCCACCGATTCTCTATCCAAGTGAGGAAAGGGTATCAGGAGCGGGGTCGCGAATTGGCCTACAACCGGAGTTCTATTAACCAATTCTCTATCTGAGTGAGAAAAGGGTTTCAGAAGCGGAGTCACGAATCGGCAACCGGAGTCCTCTATATCAATAGAAGGAGCGGGGCTGGAAGAATCTCAGAAACAGAAAGCTGAGTAATAATACACCAACAAAAAATTTCAAGACGAGATCATCAGGATAAAACCAGAAATGGAAGCAACATTGGGAACTGGAGGCGGAGGTAGCATCTGGAGTGATGGATCCACAAACCTGGCCAACGTCATCAGAGGACTCCCCAAGTTCGATGGAACGAAACCAGAGGACTTCAACGACTGGATGAAGAAATTGGGTGTAGTCGTCGGTGTTACTCGGAGGGACATCATGCCACTTCTCAAGGGAATGCGCAGGCCTGATCCCTCGGACACCACCTTCGCCGCATACGAGAGAGCAAACGAAGACCTNGCGTTACTCGAAGGGGCATCATGCCACTTGTTTGGGGTGCTCGACAGAGTATACTGTCTACGGGGCCTCCGGGGGGTACGCGGATGGAATGTATTGACAGACATGCTGCATGGCGATGGTGTGGCCTACCGCATGTCTCTTACTCTCTAAGCAACAAGGTCTTGAGTCAACCTTCTTTCTCTTTCGGCCTCTGACGAGCTACCGCACCCAAACACAATATATTGTAAGGCCTGGTGTTGGTAGTGGGTATTGGCGTCTGAGCGGTGGGAGCTGGGCCATCGGGACAGCGGACACCATTTTCATAGCTGGGATCGCGGCCAAAGGGGGCGAGAACAGCAGTGCATAGCTGGTGCGGTGGCCATTGCGGGGACCGGGACAGCAGGGTTTATAGCTGGGACAGCACTTCGAGGCTGGGACAGCAGGGAGGGTTTAGAGTTTTAGTTTGATATGTCTGGAACGGAGGAGGACGCAACTCTGAGCGCGAGGTTGGATGAGGCGCTACGAGCTATAGAGGAGGCCAAGGCTGAGACGAAGGAGGCCAAAGCTGAGACGGAGGAGCTTAGGGCAGCACAGCGGCGGTCTGCGGGTGCACCTGCCGGCAGCAGCTCAGGAGGCGACGGTCTAGTTGCTCCTGGAGGGGCTTCATCTGCACCGGTGAGGCCAATGTGGCCAGGCGGGGTGAGTCATGATGGCGGTACTGGGGTGCCGGGTTTGCCTCTGGGAGGTACAATTGTCAGAACTCCTGTGCCTAGAATCCCGCCTAATTGCACCGCCGACAC